CTCTTCTATTTTCAACAGTTTTCATAGGAATCCAAGAACTAATAATAATATTTCTCTAGCAAATTATATCAACTAATTTAATGAAGTTTTTCATTTTGGTTTTTCAATAAGAGTAGTTAAATCCATTGGACGGAGGTAGTCTAGAAATAGATTGACCTTCCAAGGATGTAAAAGGCAATGGAGCAGCCATGGGATCTTTTCTCTTAAACTGTTAAGCTTTGGTAAGTCAAAAGTCGAAGCTTTGATACCAGATTGTGGGTCCTGTTTTGCATGTCCCAACTCAAGAGGGGGTGAATTGGATTTTCTAAAAATTTAGCTTTTAAAACACATATCAAAATTCTAAAGAAACGTAATTAGAAAGCGTTTATGAAAGACAGTTATCAAGTTTAGAATTTCCTCACAAAGCTTATGAAAGGTTAGAAAATTGATTATAACTCAAATTCTGATTTCTATTAAATGTGAAAGGACAAATTAGAACTTGGAGAAATCACAGCATAGAAATCCAGAGTTCTAATGATCTACAAAGATAAAGCTTTTGCACGATTAGAAACAGAAAATCATCAACAACTTTGCATTTTTAAAATATTAACAGATGTGTAATTAGAATATAATCCAGCAACACTTCAAAAAGTAAAAGAATAATAACACATGAATTTATAGTGATTCGGCACTAACTCGCCTACTCTCTCTAAGATTTATCTTGAGATTTTCCACTATGTTATCTCGGGTAAGAGACAAACTGCATTACAAAGGAAATAGATTTAATATCTAAATCTAACCTTAAAACCACTCGATTGAAAAGGTTCTAGTTAACCTCTACCCTTCTGTTTTACAAAGAACAACTTAGATCAAGATATTAGAATCTCACACAAGAAAAATGTCGGTTGATAACCTTTTACAACATAACTTATCAACCTAAGCTATATACAAATGTTTTTCTTTAAAAGATCTCTAGTCTACAACAGATTACACAAATCTATATAGATAGATAAAAATGCAACTATAAGCACAGGAATACCAGAAAACATATTTGAAAACAGAAAGTAAGTTAAGAACTATTCTTCAAAAGAGTTGTTACAAAATTTCTTTTCTTTTAAAAACATTTCTTGAAGAACAGAGAAGAAAAGAAACAAAGGGGGTCAAAGAGAGAGCTTTGAATGATTTAGATCTCGGAGGACTCTTGCTCTTGCCAAGGATATTTGTGAAAGAGGAAAGCGTTTTTATACAAAAGGGATGATAATCCTGTTATAAATGATGTTGGGATTTACTCTATAAATCAATGAATATTTCTGACATGTGAGTTTAAAGAGACAATGCATGGGATGTATTTAAAATGACTCTCAGAGTACTTATTGCACATGCACATGTAAAGCTTTGAAGATGGAGAAGCTGTTTTAGAAAGTTGTGTTACGTTAAAATAAAATCAGACAGTTGTGTCAGAAACAGAACAACTTTTGCAGAAACTCAATTAATAACCACCAACATTTTTTACTCCAAAAATCTTTTTCATGTGGGTAAACGTAAAAAGCAATAATTTGGGCTATTCCTCTTAATATTTTTATCAAAAATATTTCAAAATAATTTTAAGAGAGATAAAATGAATTTTATGCTTGCAAAGGAATTTTCTCTCTATCCTATAAAATATTCTAAAACTTAAAGAAATATTAACCACTAAAAATATATTCAGTAATCTTCATGGTATTCAATAAAAAAAATATTGAGAACATTGAAAATTCTACATAAAATAACTTCAGCACATACAAAAATATTAAATTTATTCCGTTTGTATAATCATTAAATTTTACGGTAAATTACCCTTGACCCAACAAACATTAATAAAAGGGTGAGTTTACTTTTGATATAACAATTAGGCTATTTGATTATAATATAAATTAAAAAGTCATGAATCCAATTAATTCCTCTTTAATGTTTGATAAAGTCATCAGTTGAAAACCTCTAGCGAATATAAAATGGGTTTAAAAAATTGAGGCGAATAATCAAATGATCCAACATTAGGAATAGACAAAATTGAAAAATTATGTAAAAAGACCATATTTAAATAATTGGGATTGAAAAAAAAAAAAAAAAAGTTCACTGGACTAAAACAGGCAAGCAAGCAAGTTGTGTATTATCCTGTCCATATGTAGATTTCAACGTTTTCTATTGCCAATATTCCTAATCAAATAATTTTTTATTAATTGATAGCAATAATTAATTATTTAAGATAACAAATTTCTACATTGTAGTGAATTGTTTGTCATTAGCTAGACAAGAGTCACTCCAAATGATAAACATTGTTTTGGATAAGGGAGAGAAGAGTGACAAAGACTAATAATAATACTAATATTTTTTAATACTACTAATAATAATAATAAAGGATTTGGTTATTTTAAATTTATTTTATATAAGAACGAGCTTATTAGTTACTAAATTTAAAATTATAATAATTATAGTTGCTCAATATATGAATTTTAAAATATAATCATGATTAAATCTTTCTTTCAAAATCTAAAACTCATAATTTAAAAGCTCTCTTTTCTTCTTTTTTGGCTGCCACCGGTGATAATCCATTTCTCTATTTTGTTTATTTTTCTTTTCAAATAATCCTCAGATTATATAGATATAAGTTATGATTGCGCAAATATTAGATTTTATTGTTGCTCATGTATTGAGATTTTGTTCTCAAATCAAATTATGAGTTATTGTTATCACCATTATTGTGATTTAATCTAGCGTCTTTTGTTATTTGGATAGTTATGCAGAAAAAAGTGCATGTCTCCTCTCTAATAGAAAGAAGAAAAAATTTGAAGGTAATTATATCGGACTGATAGAAGGACTATGAAGTCAAATAATGGCCATGAATAACCACCAAGTGGAGTAAGTGATCGCCTATGACATAAATATTATGCTCTGACAACTCGATAAAATATTTCAAATCAAAATTGTGTTTTTTATTATTTGTATAAGTGGTTTATTATTAAACTTATTATAAAATAAAATATAGAAACATATCGATTTGTATCCTATATTTATATACACTAGATCTGTATACAACTTTTTCTTAATAAAATTTCTAATTTAATGTTTTTTTAAGAATATATATAATGATTAATAAATTGATTTTTATATATACAAAAAGTATTTCAGCTTTTTTTTTCCAATTTCTCCTTTGTTTTGCATTGATATTAATTTGATCAAAGTAGATATCAGAAACATATAAAGTCAATCTCAACTAATTTGAAATTAAAGCTTAATTATTGGAAAAGATGAACCTTATAATACATCAACCAAATAATAAATCATATTTTATTATTATTATAATCTATAATGATGTTTTTGCATAATTTTTCAATGTCGAGCTCTACTAATGCTTATCCTACACAATGGATGACATGTTTGATTCGTTTCACATTTGTAGCGATACCGAAAGGGTTAAATTTGACATTTTACCAATTCAATAAAATAGAGAAGGCCACTAATTTCTTAGCAATTAGGACTTTCTTCACTTTGACTATTCTCACACGCTCTCTCTTTGTCAGGGTTTTATTGGTCATTCCCACGTACACGAACACGCCTTTGAAAATTAGGTTACACGGCAAGAAAAAAAAAAAACCAATAATAATAATTTTCCCTTTTAAATTTAATTAAAGATTTTAGTTAAAAAAATATATATATAAGCTATGAGCAAAAGCAGAAGCAACAACTTTTTTTACCTAATCATGTAAGTTTCCAATTGCTGAATGATGGTGATATGGCATCATAATCATAAGCCACGTCACCAACTTTTTGTATTTCTATGTATCCAATTTGTCTCATTTTTTGTATTTCACTCCACCATAAGAACTCATTTTTAGTGTTTTCACCTTCATCCTTTGTCGTGGATTGCTTTTGGATAACTCCATTGATCACTATTTTAATTGCTTTTGAAATTTGTAACAATTTCAATTAGTCTTAGTTATTAAAAATTGAAGTTTAATTTCAACATTTAATTGTTAAAAATATGAATGTTAATAGATTATAAGATAGTTTTTAAGTATTTGCATAATTTATATTCTGCGACGAAGTTATATTCTAAAATTAAAGGATTAAAGAAAATTTTTTAAACAAATCAAGGAATTAAATCAAACTAAAATTTTGAAGCTGGCAACTAGGATCATACCGCTCCTAATTTCGTCATTGACCATCTAGGGTTATAGAACTAAATTTGTCTTTTAATTTTTTATAGATTTACCTACCTAGAAGTATATGAGAAAACTAAGAAGAAATGAGTTGAAATATGATATTCGAAATTTATATTTAGGCTCTATTCGCAAAATTAGTTATCTTAATAGTTATTAGCGGTTTTAATAATTAATAGCCGTTTGAATATCTTTTCATAAAACGTTAGAAGTTAAATATTATAGGAATTTGTGTTTTATAAAATGTTATTTTAACGTTTAAAAACTAATTCAAACACTGTAAAAATAACATTTTCAAAAAGCTAAAAGCTATTTAAAAAATTATTACAGAATATAGTTTTAACGTTGTTACTCGGATGGAAAGTTTTATTTATTTATTTAATCTTTGAAAGGAAATAGAAAAATTTATTAGCGAAAAAAATCCTCATATTAAATATTTATTTCAAGAGCCAATTAATGTTTTATAAAAAAGAAAAATAAAATCAAGAATATAAAATTTAAGATTCAGTCAATCTCATTAGTCATGACTCATTATACAGATACGGCTTCTTCCATTTGTCTCCTGATTTATCCAAATGAATCTCTATCATTGTAAATGTAATTAGTGAGAGGAAAGTCAATAATTAACTAATAAGCAAGTCAATAATGCCAATAAATGTACGGTACTCAAATTGAACGGTCAAGATTGAGTGATTGTGTGGTGCATTTAGACCTTACCATGGTCCAAAAAGGATGGGGATGACGATGATGAATGAGTATGTAACAACTTAGTCAGACATTGGTTGGTATTGGTATACACTGTACACATGCACCAAAACAGAAAATAGTTGTTAAACCCAAGGACAAAGTAGAAGGAAAGTGCACAGAGGTTGAATTGAAATAAAGAAAGAAAGGAAGAGCACTAAAAATAAAATAAAAAAAAAAGAATTAAAGAATTGTGTTTTTGTGAAGCCAAAAGAAGAAGTTTCTCTTTGAAAGAAAATGTTGGGTCAGTTTCTCACTACTTTTCCATTAATTTTTCTCAAATTCCAGAAGATCAGATTTTCTTCTCGTTTGGTCTAAATAAGATATTGGCCCTATTGGAATTTTCACTTATTCAGATTCTTAGCTACAATCTTGTCACCAACTAGGTAAATCTTTTCTTTAATTCTTTGTTTAACTTTAATTTTCTTATCTGGGTTATTTATTTTCTTTCTTTTTAAGTTAGTTTTGTGTTTTTCTCCTTTGTTTTGATTATTTATATGATTTGTTGCTCCTCAACCTACCTAACCTCACAATCCAAGGATTTTTCTATTGTCAAGAAAATATAAGAGGCTTGTTTACTTTTGGCTTCCTTTTAAGTATCTTTTTTTTTTTTTTTAATAGTCAAAGGCTTAAAGCATAGGTTTTCTTCTTTCCTTCAAACATAGTTTTGAGGTTTATTTGCCTATCTGGTTATCTACTGAATTGCAGGATTAGCTGTTGATATGACTTTTATTGATTCCTCTTGAGGTCTTTCTCCCACATCAGGTGCATATGTTTTTTTCTTTCTTTAAAGAAGAGAAAAAAAAAAACCCTTCCATTTTTAATAATTTTCAATAGTTGGGTGTTCCCTTGTTTCTCAATGGATTTTTTATGGATCTCTCTGTTTTAGGAGATAACTTTGTTTGTTGTAACCTCAAAAAGATTGGTTTTTGATCTGCAAGTGTTTGCTTAACAGTTAATTTTCTGATTTCAATTTTCGTTGAAAATTGCAGTCTCTTCTTGCTGGAAAGGCAAGATCTTTATTGAATCTCTCTCTTAATATTAGATATATCTCCCAGCTGCTAATTTTGTATGACACCTATGGTGTTAATTTGATGGAGACCTTTTCACTTGTTCAAATACTGTTTCTTTTGAGGATGTGTTCGCTGAATTTCATTCGCCATAACTTGATAAAGGAGCAGAAATAGTTTCATGCTTTTTTTTTTTTTTTGTTTATAATATAAGAAACTACTGTGATTTTACCATGAACTAAGATTTTGCCAATGACAAACGAGTCCATGCTTCTGTCTTATTGAGTTACAAAATTGGTATCTGCTCAAAACAAAATTTAGAATTCTGTGATTGTGATCATTATCTGACACGCAGTCCAATTGTGTGTCTCTTTGGCTTGAAATGAAGTCTTGCCTGTAAGGAATTTTTGGTCAATCAATTTGAAGAAATAATGCAATTTTCAGGACAATAGGTCTTGATCAAAGTACCTGAATTTCAGAAATCTCAGTTGGTTGACTAAAGCAGTGAAATTTCAAATCTTTCCCATATAAGTATACTTGAATCAAGAACCCAAATGTTGGCTCAACAAAGAGCTTTAAAATTTTACCAATGAGCTTTAGTTCAGTGGTACTAGAATCATCTCCAAAGCAATGATGTTGCAAAACCTTAAATCAGAGCCTAATTCGCCAAAAAAAAGAGAAGAACAAGAGAGAGATCTTAAATTGTGTTCTTCCCTTCTGACATCTTTCCATAGTTCCAGATATGTGCATATAAAGCGATCCCTTATTTCAGTGCAGAAAACCCTCTTCATATTCTCCATTTTGTCTATATTTCAGTTATATCTCTCTCTGTCATAGAACATTCATAAGTTTTCATGCATATGTGCACACACTTGTATTGGTATGTTTATGCGGTTGTTTGTACTTTTGCTGCTGCACTGAACTATTATTTTTTGCCATCTCCTGTGGATAAATACAGGTATCCAAAAAAAACTGCAGAAGGATTTCAACTCCGAGTGACCAATGTCCGGGTACTCCTTTTCTCATGTCATAAAAAATGCAACAGCTTATGCTGTTCAGTGGTTTCCATTTTTGAGAAATTTTAGAAAAGTTTTCTGAATCTATATGGTTTATGCAGGCCTTACAATATATGATACAACAATCAATCTTCAACACTGAATTAATTAAGAGAAATCATGTCATTAGTTAGACCTGCAGAGCTTTCTGCCACAGCATACCGAAATCATAAACTCTACTCACTCAGCAGAAGCAATGAGAATTCTGGCCTGTCCAGCCAAATGTTTGGATCTGATAAGCGGAAGAACATGTATATTACTAATTCTGACTCTTGTGAGAGTTATGAGAAGTACTTCATTGACTCCCCAACAGAAGAACTAATACACCCATCTAGTTCTAGCGTTTCTGGGAATTCATTTCACCTGCAAGATGTATCTTCTTACCAGTTGAGAACTGGTTCAGGATCCTCAATGACCACTCAAGATGCCTACAACACTTTTCTGTCAATGAGACACCGTGGTACCTATCAATTCAATTCAGAATTAGATTATTTGGAAGTTCAAAGCCCAGATGCAGTGGACTTTGATGCAGATGAGGTGAGGTTAAAGCTTCAGGAGCTTGAGAGAGCGCTACTAGATGATAATGAAGATGATGATGAGGATGAATTATTTGGAAATAGTCAGAGCATGGAAATTGATGGTGAGTGGTCTGAATCAATCCAGAATATGATGCTTCATGACTCACCAAAGGAGTCATCATCTTCAGATTCAAACTTAAGTAGCATTAGCTGTAACAAAGAAGTGTCACAATTATTGCCTCGGACTCCCAAGCGTTTGCTTCTTGATTGTGCTAATGCACTTGCAGAAGGAAATATTGAGGTAGCTGATGCATTAATAAATGATCTTCGTCAGATGGTTTCCATTCAAGGAGACCCTCCTCAAAGGATTGCAGCCTACATGGTGGAAGGTCTTGCAGCTCGCATGGCTTCTTCTGGAAAATTTCTCTACAAAGCTCTGAAATGCAAGGAACCCCCTTCTTCAGATAGGCTTGCTGCAATGCAAATTCTCTTCGAGGTTTGCCCTTGTTTTAAATTCGGATTTATGGCAGCAAATGGGGCGATGATAGAGGCATTTAAAGGTGAAAAGAGAGTTCATATAGTAGATTTTGACATAAACCAAGGGAGTCAATACATAACACTGATACAAACACTTGCCAATCAGTCAGGTAAGCTACCATATTTGAGATTAACTGGGGTTGATGATCCTGAGTCAGTTCAACGTCCTACTGGTGGCCTGAAGATAATTGGGCAAAGGCTTGAGAAGCTAGCAGAAGCACTTAAGGTGCCATTTGAATTCCATGCTGTTGCCTCCAAGACTTCACTTGTTAGTCCATCAATGCTGGAATGTTTACCTGGAGAAGCACTTGTAGTTAATTTTGCTTTCCAACTCCATCACATGCCTGATGAGAGTGTATCAACAGTAAACGAGCGAGACCAGCTTCTCCGAATGGTTAAGAGCCTAAATCCAAAGCTTGTAACCGTAGTTGAACAAGATGTGAACACCAATACCGCTCCCTTTTTGCCAAGGTTTGTTGAAGCCTATAATTACTATTCTGCTGTGTTTGAGTCCCTTGATGCAACTTTGCCAAGAGAAAGTCAAGACAGGGTGAATGTCGAAAGGCAGTGCCTGGCGCGTGACATAGTAAACATAATAGCGTGTGAAGGAGATGAAAGGATCGAACGTTATGAAGTTGCAGGTAAATGGCGAGCAAGAATGAAGATGGCTGGCTTCACTTCATGTCCAATGGGTCCTAACATAGTGGATATGATTCGAAAACTCATAAAGCAGTACTGCGATAGATACACGTTGAAGGAGGAAATGGGTACGCTGCTTTTTGGGTGGGAAGAAAAAAGCTTGATAGTTGCTTCGGCATGGAGGTGACCAGCACCATTTGGTTACTACAGCATCGGCACATCTTACTTTTCTTTAGTCCTGTATTATATTTTTGTGAGATCAAGATGCATGTTAATATATGATCTTATATTCTTATTAGACAAAAATAAGGACTTCCTAATGTCGTGCTAGAGTAAAGTAGGAGGGTTGCTAATTTATTTATCATTATCAGATTTTCTTTATTTTTTTCTTGCTACTTTTCACTCCATTTTTGTTTTATCTTTAATTTTCTGATCATCACTTTGTTGATAGTCGGCTAGAGTCTAAACTGCTTATGTTTTGGAATTTGCATTGTACTTGATTTCAGTTTTCCCAGCTTCAAATTTCCTTGTACGTGCATCCTCTGTCCAGTGGGCATGGCCACTGGTTCACATGCCCACTGGTTCATTTTGAATCGAAATCGAATTGTATTGTAGATGAACTAGAATCAAACCGGAATCAGCGGTTCAAAGGCCGAAAAAGGTTCATGTGAATGTTAAAATTTGAACTTAAACCAGCCCTGAACCGACAGTTAACCGGCGGTTCCGGTCTGATTTGAACCAGAAATTTTATATTTTTATTTTGAAAATAATAATCATTTAGCCTATTTTATACGTCTCTAAAAATCTAAATAATATTTAACTACATGATATATTTTACTTAATTTTTTTTAAATACACTTTACTTTAAAAGCTAAAAATCTAAAAAATAAAATGGTAAAAATAAAAATATTTAGTTTAAACTTATATTGTTTCTAACTTTTTTTTTTTACCCTTTTAAATTGTTTACTAAGTTGAAAATCACATTCTTTTGAAGCATTCTTCAAAATTTTCTAATAATTTATTTAATTAATAACATTTAAATAAAATATAATTTTTTTAAATACCACTTTACTTTAAAAGCTAAAAATCTAAAAAATAAAATTACGTAAAAATAAAATATTTAGTGTAACTTATATTGTTTCTAACTTTTTTTTTATTACCCTTTAATGTTGTGAAGTTGAAAATCACATTCATTTTTATGACAGCATTCTTACAACAATCTTTCTGAAGAACATTAATTTAAATTAATAACATTTAAATAAAATAACAGTTGATAAACTTATCTTGATTATTTTTGTAAAATTAATTAATGAAATCGATATTTTTAAATAAAATAAAGTGATAACTTATTTGATTATTTTGTAAAATTAATTAATTTAATCCTTATATAAGTATGAGCATTCTAAAATTTATTTAAAATAAAATTTAACAATATTTTTTAAACTCTTATTAATATTTTCGAAAGAAAAATATAACGTTAGAATCAATTTAAAAAAAAAAAAAAATATCGCAGAAAACCGTGATCAGAACCGTCGGTTCATCGGAACTGCACCAGAACCTGCCGGAACTGGAACCGGACCAAAACCGGCAGTTCAAGGGCCGGTTCAGATTTAACCTTTTAAAAATTTTGAACTGTCGGTTCCGTGAACCGAAATCCGCAGTTCAATGAATTGGCCATGCCTACTATCCAGGAAGGCAGGGCAGTAAGTAAAAGGTCATCTGTATAAATTAAGCCGTAGACAATAATTTATAAAGAAAATTCAGACCAAAAATGGTCACGCAAGCCAGAGCCTAGCCCATAAATTAGCACATTTTCTCCCCTTTGGGAGAACATTTTGGAAAGTGTGAAAACATCATTGCAAATCAGAAACCCCATAGAGCTTTCATTTCCTCTAATAATCAACTAACATGCTTAATAACTTACTTCAGACATTCTTACATTAATTTACATTAACTCGTACAATGCGAAACTGTTTTACACCAAAACAGTTAAACTTGGTGCTAAAAATCATTTGTAATGATTGTGGGATCAGAAAGTAAAGGAGAATAACAAACATATGTAGCATATTCAGTTCTTCAAACCTACAAAACACAAAGCTACTTCAGCTTGGGCTTGAAGCTCTTCCAAGACTTTTACAATCTTCTCACGGCATTGTGTGGTTTCTTTCTTCTCCGCGAGCAATTTCCTCAATCTTTTTCCAGGTTCGAAGACATGGAGTGACAGTAACAAAAATATTAATTAAGATTTCATTCAACATTCAAGGTTTCACCTAGAAGTAGAATAGTACCAAATTGGCATGTTCCAATTCGGTCTATATGATTCACGTTGATTTCAAGTTGTGATGAAATTTCAAGCATTAAGCATCTAACTTTTCAAAAATACCTAGTTAAACATTACAAAAACTTCAAAAGTAGGTTGATCTAAACTTTTGGTGAAAGACCAGCCAACCAACTGAAAGTGGGCACTTCAAAATATTGAAGTAATTTCAGGAAAATATGAATACCCTAAAGGATATCATTGAGTGGGAAACCAATCTTGTGCTTTAAACATAAGATCACCATTCATTTCCCATCACCTATTGCTGGAACCACAACAGTGGTAACAATTGACAAATCAAATGTCTTCTAAATATCATCTAATGCTTTCCTTACAAATGAAACACATAATGTAATGCTGAACAAATTTGTTGTTCCTTGTCTATTATGCTGCAAATCTTTTTTAAACATAAGATAAAAACCCTAGTATGCATCAGTTAAAATTGAGCAAAGTTACCATCTAAAAGTTCTAACTTCTTGGCTGCATTTCAGTTACAAGCTTTCAAACTCTAAAACTCTATGGCTATGTTTCGAAAGCCATAAAATGTAATGTAATATAATCAAAAGTATTTACAATACAGATATTACACTAAAAATGCCTTTAATTACATTACATTACATTATGTTTTACCAAACATAGCCTAAGTTACTACAATATGAAAGGAGGCAAAGAAGCAAGGCAAGTAAATGAAAGACATTCTAAGAATCATAGCAAATACACACCTTCTAACAATTGCAGTATCTCCATGTCCGGTGCAAATTATAAGCATTGTATTAGTTGGCAAGGCAGAGTATAAGCAACGGACCCTGTTATCCATGTTAGTCAAAATTTCCTTTAGATCAGATGTCATACAGCATTTGATGCCATTCTTCTTCGCAGACTTCTTTTTGCATGTAAGCAATGATATCATCTCTGCAAGTTTTGCATTTAGCTTCTCCTCATCCTCCACTTGCTTCTTGAAATAGGAGTTCAACTCTGAAAACTGGGTCCAGATGAAGTGCACCCTATCATTCTTCACCTACAACAACCAAAATTCAAATTGGTATCCTGCCAGCAATAAAAGAAGGGGAAACCTAATTATTTATAGCCAATTCTGCACCTCCTTCATCGCCTTTGAAAGTGCTTCATCATCGGAAGACACAGGAAATGCATGGGATGATTCAGAAGCATAACGCTTCACCACGGAAATATCATCAATGACAGAGGATATTTTACCACTCTCACTCAAAACAGTGAGGAGCTTCCTCCTTAAAAATGATGCAGGGGAACCAAAATCAGGTCCTGACAGAAGAGCCAAGGACATATATATGGGTTATGAAATACATAGTAACATTGGAAAAACATAGAGAAGCAGAAAACAAAAGGAAAAAGTACAAAATATTACTGTTGTTTTACACCTTTTCACATTAGAGTCCGGATTTTTTTTTTTTTTTTTTGTTTGTTTTTACAACCTTTTCACATTAGAGTCGGATTTTTTGGTTTTTTATTTTTGACAAAAGAGGACTTTGTGTTTCATTCTTTTGTTAAACAATTAACGGTCCAGTGCAATGTGGTAGTGGACGTGTTAGAACCTTTAAATGATGCAAACTCCACATGGCATAAATTAAGGCTATTAACGGGCTATCAGACCATTAATTGTTACAGCAATAAGGAACACAGATCCTTTTTGTCAAAAAAAGCAATTCACGACGCATGAATTTGAGCAAGTGTAACTACAATGATATTTTTTGCACCCTTCCCAAAAAACAAAAAAAAAAAAAAAAAAAAAAAGAAAACTATTAATGAAAATCGATTCGTTTTGCATTTTTTTCAATCTTTAACAATTGTCCAGTTGCCAAAGCTGCTCTTGCTTACTTCCCAAAAAAAAAAAAAAAAAAAAAAAAAAAAAAAAAGAAAAGCTTTAATGAAATCGATTCGCTTGCCATTTTTAATCTTTAACAATGCCAGTTCCAAAGCTGCTCTTGCATCTTCAATACTGTCATGTCCAGCCCCTGACTGCTGTATCTCTCTAGAAAGAAATTTCTTAGCAAGAATTCTGAGAGCAGTTTTGTAAGATCCACCTCGGGGATGCTTGTATAACAATGCAGTATCAATCACCAATTCATGAGAGATCTTTAGTGCTATCAAATCATTCTCCAATGAATGGCCAATCAGGATAGTCTCTTTGTAAACCAGCTTTAAGAACTCTTCCTGAATAGAGGGAGCAACTGTAAATGCAAGAAAATACTATCTTAAGAAAGAAATTGAACAGTAAGACAGCATCATACAAAAGAAATTGAACAGTAAGACAGCATCATACAAAAAATTGTTACTGCAGGGTTACTGTCAAACCTGAACATCTTTAAGACTTGTCGTTACCCCAGTCAGCATCTCACGTGTGATTCCACTAAACCTGAAAAATCAATTTATTGTTAATGATTTAAGAAAAAAGCCATTTTTAAACAGGCTGAGAAGGAAGGAGAGAGAAGAGATTAGTCAATGTTCTTTAGATATCTAAATATACTGAATCAAGCCATAATTTGCATCACAATAAACAAGATGAAGCAAGAATGCCAAAAATGTTAAAACTGAAGATAAACGTCACATAAAATGTTTACATTTGATTAAAGTCAAGTAAAATCATCATTCAGTTTTTTCCATGAATCACTAACAAGAGACATGTCCACTCTCTTCCTTCACACCATGATTCTTTCTTTTGCCTCCTATTGTGGTTACTATCACTATGATGTGGATCAAGGAAACGACACTTTAATAGGGTTTGGACAAGCATTGACCTACCGCGTGTTATAGTCGACAATATCATTTAATGGTTTAACCAATTTATCTAATACCACCTGCAAAATGGAGAATCAGCATTAGACAATTATGTGGAACCAAATAAAATTGATGTCAAGAATCCAGCAGCAAATTAGGAACTCAGTGAAAATACTACACATGTTAAAAGCTCCAAAAATTTCAGAATAAATGAATTCCAATAGAACCAAGTCTCAATAAAACTTCATTTGTCAAATCCAAATACAAGAAACACATGATACAAAATATAAATGCTGATAAATATAATCAGGAAGGGCATACAAATACTGAGCAGAATACAAATATCTTGTGCACCAATCACACGACACAGAAACAGAATTACAGAAAATTAAGATGCAATGGTAACTCAGGAAACCCTTTCTTGTTCCCAGAACAAAAAATAGCATTCGGGCCCCCCTTATTTTACCTTTGAATACAGCAAACCTTCATATTCAAAATGGCCTTGTGGTAAATCAATAATCCAATCAGAATTTAGAAATAAATTCTGGTGATTGAACATCTTAATGCAACAAATGCTTAGCAGAGTCATTAAGGAATTTCATGCAGATTAAGTTACCTATGTTAGATAATTTATAAAAATGGCACACTATTAGGGCATTCCATTACAAGATTTAGTGCAAGTTCCCTACCAACACGAAATGAAAAATGCATTTTTCAGCATACCTGTCCTTTAACATCCACCAAGGTCACTCTTGTCAGCTCAAAGCCCTCATTTGTGATACACTATCAAAATAAGAGCAAATAAATCAAGTCAGAGAGAAAGCAATATCAAACTATCTGCTATACACGAAAGGTATATAATCTTAACGATCCATGCAGAGAATAACTCTTAACAGACAGTACATACTTCCAATTTGGAGGATACCTAGCAGCTCTTCAAGTTAATATGCAATTGGATTAAGCATAAGGGATAACAAAAAGATATTTTCTTTATGCTTATTCTTCCCAACTATAACAACCATACAAGTTTATACTTGATGCAGATTCACAGTGCCTATCCCGATACTTCAAAATATTTCCCAATTTTCAATCAAAACTAACATCATACCATTTCACAATCAAGTGCCAGCATATCATAAGGAGCAGAACCTGGAGGTGCAGGATTGGTAGACAGAAAACCTGCATGAAATCAGTAATCATGTTATAGAACTGCTTCAATGAATGAACAAACAAGTAAATAATGTTATAAGCAAAGGATAAATCAAGACAAATAGCAAACACATTACCTGGTTGATTGATACAATACCCATTTTCTTCCATTTGTTTAGCTGCAAGTGTGTAGTATGTCAGCGGGAAAGGTAGATCTTTCATGAGTTCTGCTGATGGTAAGTCCCTCATACCAGAATTTCTTCCTTCTGCATAGTGTTGTTAACTTGTCAACTTCAAAGGCGAGTTTGTACTACATCCTTATTTTATTGTTTCATGGTCATGTGACATTCACATTCTAACCATAAAGGACAATCATTAGATCCACCATCGATTAAATCACTTTGTTTTGTTTGATGTAAAGCCTATTTAATCATCCTTGTTACAGGAGTTGATTAAGAGTTTACAGAATATAAATCACTTAAAAAATGTCAATAAACATCAACATTCAAATGAGAAATACTACAAAACAATTAAGGAAAAAATCATGCCAAACAAGGTGGTCAAGCAAATGTTTTTGCTTTTATAGAAGTTGTGAAATGCTGCACTGGGGAGATTTACATGTGAAAACACAAAAAAAATAAAAATAAGGAAATGAATAAATAAACAATAGAAGTAGATGTCTGCACAAATCAAATGGGATTCCACTCATACCATTGGTACTCTAAAATAATAGAACTGAAGATGTCAAACTGATCTTCTGGAAGAGGTTCCGCCAGTATGTTAGTTTTTTTGTTTTTTTTGTTTGGAAGGAATGGATTTCGATCAGTGAACTAATTACTGTAATTGCTACTCTAAAATCAAGAGTCTGGTTCATGAGTGCTTGCAGAAATTTCAATATAAATTCACACAAAAAACAGAGCCCTAAAACTATAAGTGAGGAATTCTAGCCAAAATTGGGTGAATAGCATGAAAAAAAAAAAAAAAAAAAAAAAAAAAAAAAAAAAAAAAAAAAAACAAGCGTACTGACAATTTACAATTTTTTTTGTCTTGTATAAATTGCTGAAAGACCCAGATACAAAATTCATAGAAAGTACGAAGAAAGATGGCTTTGATGACTTTCTTTTCTACTCACACTAGTTAGTAAAAAAAAAAAATCATTGAAACATATATAGAACACCTAATTCCATCCTATGCAAGCAATTCAATTAACTCAATATACTCCCTCTGTTCCATTTTATTTGCATGGTTTGACAAATCACACACATTGAAATTTAGTCAACAAAAGTTATTTGACCTTTTTTACCCTTAACTCATTAAGATGTTAATAAAAGTCCTTCATTTAATGAACAATCATAAAGGTTATTGAAATTTAGGAAAAATAATTATTTACATATCTAAATTTAGAAACTTTGCAAACATTTTGAGACATCCAAAAAAGAAATAACAAGCAAACAAAATGGGACGGATGGAGTAATAAGTTAACTGAATGAAGTTTTGGGGAACAAATGAAAACCTTGTTCAGATGTCTGGGTAGATTTCCTTGAAACTGAATCAACTGCATCTCTCTTTCTTTTTGTCTTGCAAGTTAGAAGTGCATCAATTGTCTGCATTTCATCTGACATACAGCTACCAAAAGCCAGAAAGTTGCATGTTTAAGAATGCTATTATGATCTATGAAACAATAGAAAAGAAAACTGAAGCATTTCTAACCTAAGAGCTAAAAGTGCCCTTGGATTGCCACAACATTCTTTAAAACTACAAAGTAACTTAGACTTTGATAAGTATAATGCCGCATCCAGGCCAGGTATGAAAAGCATAGCCACTTTTGGAATCAAAGGCTTATTCTGCAAAAACCAATAAGGTCATGTCATTATTCAGAACGTAAAATTTATCAGGGGTGCAAATTTATCGTATGGCGCTCCTATAAGCACCATTTGTTGAATGTGAGCACAAGAAGGTGCAAACAGTATCCAAAGAAGACTCAAAACCAGATTATATTTTTTATACAAAATACAAGAATGTTAGCTAAAAAGTGCTCTTAGGAATTGGAATACGTTAAAAAGTATTCTTAGGAACTGGGAAACATTAAAAGTATAGCTGTCAAGTATTATTCAGTTGCTGAAAAATGGACATGCTCTAGGATACAAGAGGATTGCGAACGCCACATTTATAAAAGTAAGTCAATCGAGATGAGTTGTCATTTCTTTTCAATTTCCACTCAGAGAACCAAATTATCAATGTGCTAACTAATCTGAAAATTCTACCCCATCTAGGGTCCTCTGATGTACTTCTAAATCTTTCAGGATAAATTACTTCTCATAAAAAAAACACATGATCACAGACATGCATACTTAAAAAGCACAAAATCCAAATTCAAGGCTAAAATAAAAAACAAGGGAGGAAAGTTAGTTTTTTTTTTTTTTTTTTTTTTTTTTTTTTTTTTTTTTTTTTTTTTTTTTTTTTTTTTTTTTTTTTTTTTTTTTTTACCTTAATAAAAACCCATGTTGGCATGAATCCTTCAGCGAGAACCCAGGTTACAAGTCCTTGAACGTCCTGTTTCAGAATAAAAACTCCAGTCGTAATTTTTCAACATTTTTAAAGAAATAGACAAAACCAAAGGAACTTACTTCCATATTCAAAGTTGAGTTAGCTTCTGGCATCTTGAAAACAAGTTCTGCTTTTGCCTATATAGAAACATTTTCAATTCACACAAAACCAACATAAGTCACGGTATAATAAGTAAAATCATATATAGGCCGCACATTTTTCAGCCCTTGATTAAAATTTAACATTATCAAGCAAGCCCATTTCTCTTGTATGCTAATCACAAATAATTAACAACAAATAAAATTGAAAAACACATGTTTAAAGACCAGGAAAAAAAGAGAGAGGACAGTACTTGCGGTCCATAGATATCATAGAAATTGCTGCTATTGTTGTTACTATCATCAATCGATTTCTCTTCGTTGGGAGATATAGGTTCTTCGCTCTCATCTTTTGAAGAAGGCATTTCCTTTTTTTTTTTTTTTTTTCCTCTTTCCTTCACTGCTGTTCAGAGAAGAGAACAAAAAGTTACTACAACACCGTATGCAGAAACGAAAAGTTAACCCTTGATTGAATTGATTGCCTTGGAAAATTTATGTAATTGGACTTGGGGCTTTTTTTTTTTTTTTTTTCTGTTCTCTCTTCTTCCTTCCTGCTGTTCAGAGAGAGAACAAAAAGTACTACAACACCGTAGTGCAGAAACGAAAAATTAACCCTTGAATTGAATTGATGCCTTGAAATTTATGTAATTGGACTGGGCTTTGGTCATTTTGGGTTTGTAAATGGACTAAGCCTACCAGGTATAACCCACCCCTGACGCTATTGAAATCCACGAAGGGTTGAGCATTATTCGATCGGACCGAATAACCGAACTTCGGTTTGGTTCGATCAGAATTTTAAGAGTTCGGTTTAAATAGTAATAACAAAAAATTCTGAACCGACTTTATATCTAAGACCAAAAAATGTTTCTGAATAACTGAACCAAATTCAAATCGCTATGGTTCAATTCGATACTGAACCGACTTTCACGCTCTGTGGTTCAGATTTGATCTCGGTCAGACGGAAACGAACCAATTCGATTCGGTTAGACCGAATGCTCAACCCTCACGATTGTAGTTCCAATCAAGGGAAGGGTTGAAATATAACCGTTTAGAAAGAAGAAAACCCCATTCACGGTTTAGCCCTAGATTGCTCAGTGAAGTTAAAAAGAAGAGAAGATAGTACTAGAGAATCCACGAATCAAGAAAGAGAAGACAAACAGCGAATAGAGATGTCGAAGGTGTTGATGCAGCCGATAGGGCAAAAGAGGCTAACCAACGTGGCGGTTGTTCGATTAAAGAAACATGGTATTCGCTTCGAGATTGCTTGTTACAAGAACAAGGTCCTTTCATGGCGGTCTGGCGTGTAAGTACATTAATAACCCTTTACTTTACCAATTCTTAAAAGTTAGGGTTTTAACCTTGCCAATTTTGTACGGAAACAGAGAAAAAGATTTAGATGAAGTGTTACAGTCGCATACTGTTTATTCAAATGTTTCTAAAGGAGTTCTTGCAAAGTCTAAGGATTTAATGAAAGCCTTTGGCACTGATGACCAGACCAAAATATGTCTTGAGGTAATCAATTAAACCGTTTTATTAGCTTATTGAGATTATTTCTTTTCTTCTTTTTTTTTTTTTATTGAAATTGTTTTTGTTAATCATATGGTGGTGATGATGATTAGATATTGGACAAAGGGGAACTTCAAGTTGCTGGGAAGGAGAGGGAATCTCAGTTATCAAGTCAGTTTAGGGATATAGCAACAATTGTTATGCAGAAAACAATAAATCCTGAAACTCAAAGACCTTACACTATTAGTATGATTGAGCGTCTTATGCATGAAATTCACTTTGCTGTTGACCCACATAGCAGTTCCAAGAAGCAGGTCTATCACTAAACCCAAGAAATTTTGATTTGATTAACTAATATTTGTTCTGTAAGTATCTTCTGTTATTCAAATGAAACTCCACAATGCCAAAACTTCTAGTTCTAGTGGATTATCAGTTTACTTCTGTTTCCTGATTCGTTAATCAATGTATTATTTTGCTTTTATTATTAGTTATTTTTTTATGCCATGTTATCTATCTATGGGTGAAGTTTAATTTTGTTGCAAATTCTGATCCTGTTCTTATATATAATGGTGAAGGTTAAAACTCAATTAAATTTGTATCTGGTGTAGGCACTAGAAGTTATTCGTGAGCTTCAAAAACACTTCCCACTAAAGCGGTCTCCAATGCGACTGCGACTTAATATTGCTGAACCAAATTTGTCTACTCTTCTGGAAAAGCTGAGTACATGGAATGCTACCATTGTGTCAAAAGATGAATCTGGAAGTCAGCTTTCTATTGTAAGTTCCTGTCTTCCTTGGTAATCCCTCATGAGTTTTATTTTCACTTATCACGTGTTTTTTTAGCTTCTTAAATTGTTTTCTACTGGTTGTAGCTAAGGGGATTAAAGTTGAATTAAGAGTATCACTCATTCAGTCTACGGTGACTGAGATCAATTCTGTACCTTTGGATCAAAAGATTGTATAAATTCTCACACTCATAAGAATATCTATGTATTTAATTGTTATATTCTTATTATCTAGCTAAGTAGGTGTAGACATAATAAAATCATGAAGATGTGTAAAAATTGTTCGCAGCGCTCGACACCTGTGATTGTTTCTTTGAAGCATGATTTCTTACATAATTTTTTCTTCATTCATACACAATTACTGCGACAAGTTCATATAGTTGTTATGCTTTGTTGTTGCAATGCGATTTAAGTTGCAAGATATATGACAAATTCGGATGCCATAGTTACTAAGAAAATCTGAACTGCCATTCCTTGTCGCATTCTGTGTTTTTCTTTTCCATTAAATGGGTTCCACTCCCATCGAATGCCCTTTTTTACATAGTCTGATGGTGGTTAATATCATCTTAGATGTGTGTTTGACCATGAGTCCGCTCTTCTTTTGAGGTTCCACTTACATTTGATAATTGTGCAGATATGCGAATTAGATCCATGTTTTTTTCGGGAGTGTGATGTCATGGTGAGGAATCTGCAGGGCAGGTTGGAAATTCTTGCTATGTCTGTGCATTTTGAAGGGGAAACCCATGTAGATGATTATGATGACCTTGAAGAAATGCCGTCAAGCCTACCGAAAGAGTCTACAGATTCTGTGATCCAACTGAGTGATAAAATGCAAAAGCAGACTATCTCTAAGGAAAAGAATACTGAGGACGAGGTAAAGCAACATAAGTGCAACACTTGCACTGCATTTGTTGGTGATGCCAAGCAGTATAGGGATCATTTTAAGAGTCAATGGCACAAACATAATTTGAAGCGCAAGACCAGGCAACTCCCACCTCTTACAGCAGAAGAGTGCTTAGCTGATGTGGACCTAGATGACTCTAAAGCAGATTTAAAAGATTACTCATTTTGACGTGAGACTGAGGTTTGTTGAAACATTTTGTGTAGATTCGCATTGTTGTATACATTTTTGCTCCATGTTTTATGCTAGGCTTCAATTAGAGCTTATAGAAATTGCCAACAAAACGTGTTGTGATATAGTTCAGTTCAAAGAAGGCATATCTGAGTTCTTTTATGTTTACCTTTTATTTATTCAATTGACTTTGCTGATACAGTTTTTTCTTTTTATCCAAATAATAAACATGAAGTTTGCAACATATTACTTCTTAATATCGTTTTATTGCATAGTACTCTCCAAGGGAACTGAATTCTAATTGATAAAGAAGCAGAGCTACCTGTTGCCAATTGGTCAAAACCCATTTTGGTTACTCCATTCTTCATTAAGTGTTAGCCTTTGGTAGAGATCGCAAACTTCTGAATCAAAACCTAATATAATTAATGAGTCTCGTCATCAGGTTTTAAGGGTATGAAAATTTAGTACTTACATTAAGTGATCTACCTTTTTTATTTTACTATTACTTTGCTTTTTTATTTTACTATTACTTTGTACAGATATCTTGTATAAACTCGTTCATATACAAATTTTTTTCATTATTCACAATATTTTATCAATGTCAAAATTTATCAGATTTCTTCTGATTTTATTTGGGAACTCTTATGTTTAGCTATAATATTTTGCTTGATCATGTGATCTCTTTCTTATTTGGAAGAACTCGTCTTATCTTGATACTGGATGAAGGGATGATGGAGCAATTGTGCAGCTGCAGGTCGTTTAGACGGATCTCTTTGCAGGCAAAGCTTTACAAAACTCTTAGCATCTTCTGGTAAGTAATTGGGAATTTCATGGTGTTCCTTACTATTTGCAATCGTAAATATTGCAGCCACCTGCTTCAAACACAAGGGTATCAGACAGGAACTAAAATTTCTACTATGGACTTCTATGCAAAATACTATATATATATATATATACCCCTTCATATTGGCTCCATGGAGGTTTCGATGTTGCCATCTCTAAAACTGTGCACCCTAAGCTCCATATATCAACCGCAAGACTATAGCTACTAGTGGGGTTCGTTATAACCTATCGGGAAATGTTAAGGGTTAATTACTCTGGTTCTGAATAAAAACCCACAAAAAAAGAAAAAGAAAAAGAAAAAGGAAGAAGAAACAAAAACTTGATACCTCTGGTGCCATCCAGTAAGGACTTCCTCTAAAAGAGAGTATGGAAGAACCTGAAGTCTGGGTTTTGAAATATGAGATCAGAAATGTCTTGGAAAAGTTAAAAGAAATTGATCGTAGGAATATTACAAGCAACTCACATGTTTGGCCATGCCAAAATCAACAAGCTTAATTTCACCATTAGGATCTACTAATATGTTTGCACCTTTAATATCCCTGCCATTTTTAAAGCAACACTTTTCGTCAGTTCAGGTATGTAGAGTAAGATTGTTTAAATTCCTGATGAACAATTAAAACTGCTACACCAGTTAATTACCTATGTACTGTATTCCTTTTATGTAAATAAGCTAGTCCACAAAGGATCTGCTTCGTGTAGCTTCGAATTACAGGTTCCGCAAATGGACCGTATTGATCGAGTAATTTTTGGATTGAACCACCAGAAACATACTCCAAATAAACTGAAAGTTTATCATCTACCTGCATGACAGTTAATGTTATTTCATTTCTCTGAGTAATTTTTAGTACCTATTTATCGGCAGTTAGGTACTATAAATCATTCTCTTTTCCTCAAATTATTTATTTTTTCAATTTTGCAATAAAATGGTATCAGAGCCATATACTCTAAAGTTCAGTACTTTACATTACGGAACATCCATGAGAGCTCTTACCATTTTGCTTCCATAATATTGAACAATGTTAGGATGTGACAGTTCACTAAGCAATGCAATCTCCTGTTCACACAAATGACAGAAAGAAAAATGAAATTAGGAAGTCAGTTGGTTTTGTCAGGGCTTAGAAAATCCACTGATAGAAAGAAGGAAACCTGGTTCAGTTGCTTAAGACATTCAGTTGAGTTGTGATCATCAGAAATTACTCTTACTTCCTTAATTGCACACATTTGCCCATTTTCACTATAGACAGAAAGAAGACACTATAAATGGACATTGAAATTCCAAAAAGAGAAGAGATATTTGCCCATCTGAATTTTGAATTCCTTGTGTTCTGTTCTCAATTCTACAGTCAACCAAACGCAGCCTTAAATTGTGATCTTTTTATGGATTCTTTTGAGTTTACCTGTTGAATCCAGCATAAACATGGCCAAAAGTCCCTCTTCCTAAAAGCTTTCCCTTCTTCCAAGTTGACTGAAGATTACAGGAAGATTTAACAGGAGAACCAGGAGGAAGAGGCAAAGGATGACATGGATGCCTCCAATTTTCTTGCTTTTCGGATAAGTACTCCATAGAAGGTGATGCCTTCATATTTGGAGTTCTTGATTCATTAAATGAACTTCTTGACCATAAATTCTGATTGGTTTCTTCAACTGCCCTGCAAACACCATATTTAATGTGATTAATAATTTATAATACATAGCATTTTACTGATTCAACAAAACGAGAATGACCCAAAATTGGAAAAGCAAAATAGGACTCATCATGTAACTATAAAAATTAAAATTTCATATTATGAAAAAACAGGGGAGGTGAATTAGTAAAGAAACTGACCTGAAAGAACCAAAATCTCCATGATCAGTAACAGCAGAATAAACACCTTCGTGATCATTAGAAGAACTAGAAGAAGAAAAAGATAAAGAGGAACTAGTGCTTGAATGCGAAGCTGCATCAGAGGCAAGACTGGCTACTTTCTTGTCAAAGATTATGGATGGCTCAGGTGAACATGAAGGTTTAGGTAAAGGGTAAGCTTTCATTTTTGCAATTTCATTTCCAATATCTGAATCAAAGCCAGAAAACACCGAAGGCCTACTAATCGAAATGGACGAATCTTTCAATTCAAGACTGTTATTCCTTGAAGAATTGTGAGTAGAAAAGATTGATTCATCAAAATTCTTTGGCTTCTCTCTAAACTTTTCCTTCTTGTTCTTGTCCATGTTTTTTGTTTCTAGTTGAGTGACTCTTCGAGAGTTTCTTGTCCACCAGGATGGCATTGTGATACAAACAAGATTAGAAAGATTCAACGGAAGCAAAATAGAGAATTCTATATATAACTACTCGCTCCAAAACCTATATTATAAAATGTTTGCATTTATGATTTTGCGTGTGCGTGTGCGTGCGCGTTACAGAGAGTAAAAGAAAGACTAGCAAGCAGCAAAGTTGTTTCTGTGTGGTTAGAAAGAAAGTTGTACATACAAAGAAGCAAAGGAAACAAATAGTAATAACTGATGTTAAGTGACAGATTGGGTAGTGGGTGGGCCAGGCGGCTGGATAGAAACAGGGTATCTGAAATATATGATTGAAGCTTTTCTGCTATGTAATTGCAGACTGTAAATAGCTATGCTGCACGGAAGCCATGGGCGTTTTGGCGTTTAAGAACGTTTCCGCGTATCTATTTCTCTCTATAGAGTACCGTTTTTCCGTATCATTTCTGCGTTCTCGCATTTCCTTGTTTCTGTTTCCGTGCAGCATAGGTAAATAGTTTCAAAAAACAAGGCTGATTGGGTTGAGATTTTCATATCCATCCTTGTAATAGATATTCCAAGTTTCTAACTATGTGTATATAATGATGCAGGCAATGAAAGGTCAGTTTGATACTTGAGACTATTAAGATTTATAATGCCATAATTGTTGCTACAATTTCTATGTTTCCTAGATTTTTTGAGTACCAGAGAAGAGGAAAATCGAACCTGGATCAATTGTCAAGTTGAATATGCACTTACCACATGTCTTGTTGTGTTGTTCTCTAGATTAGAATCAAATAACAATTTATAAATATACATGTACTCCACTTTCAAAAGTTCAACCAAATGTATAAACAGTTCTATTAAATTTTTGGAAGAAAAACATAAATTTTTACCCTCTGAATGATAAAAATGTAATTCTTCACAATGAAAATTTTTGGAAGTAAAGTTCATGTTTGGTGTTGATGAAGAGTCTTTCAAAGACATGTTGCTTCTTGGGTTACAGCTAATAACTAATGATCTCATTCTCATCTCATAAAATCCCACATCCATTGCTATTGGAATTGGGAATAGAAGGTCTACTAGCAGATTTTGATGGCTCTTTTGTTATATAATAAATATTCAATATATTATTGGATTATTGATATAAAAATCCCAATTTTATCATCAATGCAATAATAATAATAATAATAATAATAATAATAATGCATAATTAGATATTTGAGGGCCATTTGTTGAGTTGTCTTTATCAGTGAAGCAATTTGCAATAAAGACACCCTCCTCTTCAATGGCTAATCATGTCTTGTCTAGTTACTGCTATGGCCAAGAATTTGCTTCGTACGTCAAGCTGGGTTCCATATATGGAAAAGATAATGAAAGCTATCTTTATAACCATAAACGAACCTTCTTTAATTAGCTAACTCAAAAGCAAATTAAGTATTAATGGTATTATAATCCTTACTTATAAAAATATATCATTTATCAAAATGTTTTTAGATTTTTATTTTTTATGGTACAATAAATCTTTATTATATTATATTTTTTTAAAACAATGTACACATATTTCATGTTAATTTATTATTGGAAAAAATTTTATTAAATGCCAACAGTTGTACGTCTCTGATTGGTCTTTTCATATATGTCGAAAGTGAGAGTTCTCGAATTTAATAATAAAAGGAGAGGGCTATGGTATTAATTACTCTAATAACATATTATTCCCTCTGTTTATAAAGATATAAGTCTTATTTCTATTTTTACATAAATTAAAAAAATTAATTAATATAGTTTAAACAATCGATGTTACCTACATTTTTCCTTAATATAGTTATATATTAGTATTCATTTTTAATAAAACTTTGAAATAAAAAAAGAATTATGAATAGGCTATAACTTGGGGCAAATGAAAAAAAAAATATTTAATTTTTATGAGATGGACGTAAAATATTTAATTTATAGACAGTTTCAAGTTCAGATTTATGGGATAAATAAATTTTATTTTATATTTCAGATTCATTTATATTACATATAATAATTTAGTAAATAAAAATATTTTTTAAATTTATAGAACACAAATTCTACATCCAAAAGGCTTACATGTTCACATATTTTTTGTTGAGTGAGATAATTAATTAGTAATTTAATTATAATAAATAATGGAATTCTCACTTCCACATGGTAGGGTCTGTGTATAAATGTGTCCAATAATTAAGAGACAGAGGGATTAAAGACACAACTTGCTTTTTCTGGTTTTTGTTTTTGAAACAAAACCAATGGCTGGTTTTCCTTCTGTTTCTGTAATAACTGCAAATGGTCAGTTCTTATGTACTGGTTATATATTTATGGGTTTTGGATTTTGTTTTTGGTTCATTGCATGTTAATTTTCTTGTTGTTTGAAATTAAGTGTGCTTCTTTGACCCTTTGTTTAGAAAGGAGAGGAAGGAACATATTGTAGGGAAGAAAATAATGTGTTTGGATATATCGGAGGAAAGAAAATAATTTTGTTTTCCGAATGAAAAAGGTAAAATTGTAGAAAAAAAATGTTATTATTGAAAATTGAAAATTATCTCCTTACTTAAATTATGGGGTATTTAAGAAAAAGATAAAATTTTAAGTGAAATCTATTTTCCTTCATATTCTCCTAAGTTGGAGAAATTCAAAATATATGGTTCCGGATGGAAAGTAACTAAAATATTAATTCTTCCAAAATTTTTCTGCTCTTTTCCAAAAATGATAAAATACATTTTTCTAGATATTTTTTATAATTATTATCTTTCAAAAAATACACTCATCCAAATAAAGGATGACTCTTTGATAAAGCGATATGATCAAAAATATAATTTTTTATGCCTAAAAATAAAACCTTATACGTCCAATACTCTCTTTTTCTTTTCATACTTAAAAAGTAGAAACAAAACCCTAGGTATCATCATGATTTTTAAATCACCCTTTCAATTTCATAACTGTCAATTTCAGTTTCTTAAAAAATGAAACTAAAATCGAATGGTTTTTAGGCAGTTCTTATAGCAGCTTTGAAATCATTAATTCAATGTCAAATTGAAATTGATACTAACAAAATTTTTTTCCAAAAGTTTTTTTCCTAATTTTAATTTTTTTTTTTTTAACTTTTGCAGCATGAAAAGCAATAACTAATTGATTTGACCTGTGAACTTATTTAGCTGAATCAAAAAGATCAAATTTAACATTTTCGGTCAATTTAACTTTCGAATTTGTTTAAAATAATTAAAAAGATTAGGTTTAACATTTTGGGTCAATTTAGCCCTTGATTTTTCATTGCAATTATAATGGGAGAATTCTTGTATAGACATTTATTAAAACTATGATTGCAATTAGGCAATATAATTTATTAAAAAATTAATTAAATATGAAATAGAAGAAAATGATACATGAGTTAGTCCCTTTTTATTTTGACTGGTGACTTTGAATTAATAGATATATACTAATTTGGATATTTTAAAACTGACCATTATTACTGTATTATTGCATATAAAGTTCATGCATTCTTATGTTGAACAAATAAAGTTTATAGTACATGTTTCGTAAATCTACTGTTTTAAAAAAATTCTATTCATAAGTGTTAAAAAAGTTTTATCTTGATGTTTTTCGTGTAGAACAAAGTAAATTTAATAAAAAAATCTTAATATTTATTTGAATGATTATAATAAAACAGAAAATGAATTGGGAGTTTTACTCATAGTCTTTCACTTACTCTTTTTCCATTTTTATTTATGATTTCATAGCAAAATAGTCGGAAAACAAAATTCAGTGGATCTAACCTGAAAAAAATAGGAACCGGATTCATACCATAGGCACACGATTTTAATTACATTTCAAAAATGAGAATCATTCACCATAATTTGGTTCCAATTTTAATTAATTTTCTTTCGATTCAATTTCAATTTAAAATCAAATTGTGATCATGTTTGCTTTCCTATTTTTTAATTAATATATATTATTTCTATTGTAATATTTTCTTTTGCTCACTTATGTTTTTTTTTTTATGGGTGATCCTTGATAAATTTATCTTTTTTATTTTCTTATAAAAATTGTCAATTGGTGTTTTCAAGTGAGTTAACGATTATTATCAATAAATGCATATATTTTATACATGCTCTTATTTGTAGTTCCTGTATTTTGTTTTATTTTTTAGTGTCAATGACTTTTAAAAATTGCTAATATTTTTTCTATTATTTAAAAAAAAGGATTTCAAACAATAATATACTTTCAAAATTAGAAAAATTACACTTAATAAATATGGATAAATTTAGAAAATAATTTATTAATATACTCTCAGAATTATAAATGAGCACTCTAAATAGAACAAAATAAAATGCTTATTTATTGCTATTAAAGTGGAACAGATAGTAATTTCTATTTCCTTAGTCCGCAATACTAAGTGTTGTTTAAGGTTTTCATTTGTCATTTTAGAAAATTAATTTATATATTTTAATATTTTCACTAAGTATTTTCTTCGCAAAAAAAAAAATGATGCAAAAGTAATTTTTTGTCGTTTGTGATCACTTTAATTTAATATTTAGAATTAATATTTAAGTTTCTTAATACAAAATTAATTTAATATCTTCGCTAAGTATTTTTTTTTTAATATTTATTTTATTTGTCATTTGTGATCTCCCTTCCCAAAAGGCTTTACAAAGTTAATACTAATGCATCTTTATCTGCATTAGTATTATCGAAATGGCTATTGAAATAGGTTCTATTTGCATAGTTCTGGAGTCGGATTCATCGATAATAATTCAACATCTTAAATCATCAAGCTTCTCCGATTCTCTTACTAAGTTAATAAATTGATAAGCTGTAATGAAATATAATGCAATCAAATCCATTTTTAATATGAATTTACATTAAAAATGCTTTTGATTATACTACGTTTAGATTCCGTTACATGCCTAAGTGATCAGTTTCCAACATTCATTCGGGTAAAACACAGCCAACAGTGACGATCTTAATTCCTAATTGTAAGCTTCCCACCAATGGCTGAGGATTGAGGAGTACACACACCAATATCATGCACCTTCAAACCCTAATGATTTTCTAGTTGATAGATCACTTTCACAAATTGTCCTCCACATCAACTCCAATACCTTTTACACCTCACAATTTTGCAAGAATATATCCACTTCTAAAACTATATTGAGATGGAAAATTTTAAATGTGGTTAGTGAGAAGAATAATAACTTAAGAGGGCAATTAACTCTAATTGCTGGTTCAAACCGAATCTAAAAATACACATTTTTGTATCGTATGACTATTAATTCGAATACGTATGATATTTCACATTTCATTTTGTTAATCTTTTTAGGTCCATAGATTAAATATTAAATGTATTTTTTAACTCAGTAAAAATTTTATTTTTAGTTGAACAATATATAAAAATTAATTCGAGAATACTTTTACATATTATAGACAGTGAAAAAAGAAATAACAATTTGATGTTTGGATCGAAATTTGAAATTGAACAATAAAAACAAAAACCTTTAATATGTTTTTTAGAAATTTGCTAAAAGGTCACTATCTAAACCAATGACTACAAGAACAACAAAAGAATGATCCAAAGCTCCCAACAGGATGAGAAGTCTATGCTCAACCAATAAGGACTCACTAAAACATTCAAACTTTAAACTTCTACAAAAGCTTACACCTTTGGATTGAATCATTTAGATTTTTGTTTTTTTATTATTTTTTTTATTTTCTTTTTCTTTTTCCAATTTCTGCTTAATGAAATGTCATCCACATGAACTACAAGCCCCTCTGTTACCTCACAAATTTATTAGAATATCCTCTTCTAAATATTTCAAATATAAATATTAGAGATAAGAAATTCAAAAGGATGTAATAGAATGTTAAATATTAGAATTACAAAACTAAAATTTAAATAATATAGAAATAAAAGAGAATATATATTGAATTTTCAGAAATTAGTTCGGTCCCTTGGATATAAATCATGACAATTAGAGGAAAAATAAATAATTTAAATATAAATAAAGAAATAAATCCAAAAGACCAAGACCACATCTTCTTTCTCATCATCTTTTCTTAGCATAATCCATTAGAAGTAGAGAGTGTAAAAGAGAGAGAGAGAGAGAGAGAGAGAGAGAGAGAGAGAAAGAGAGATGGCTATGAAGAATTGTTTTCAAGTATGCACTAGTGGTAGAGGTGGTGTAGTGCAATGTTCACAGCCATTGAAGATTCATTTGCCGACTTCTTGTAAAGGAATATTTAATATAGCAAATAAAGATCTTTTATCCTTATCTTCTTCTTCTCTCAGGCTCAAACCCAGAAGCCAAAAAGCTCGTTTTGTTTGCAAGGCTCGTGAAGCTTTAAATGAAGGTTTGCTAATAAGTTCTGTGCACCATTTTTTTTTTTTTTCAATTTGTTAGATACGTGTTTGATAATATACAGCAGCATTTTAATTAATCACTTGTTTTTATTTTTGTTTAAGTATATGATAATTAGCTTCCTCCACATTCATCATATTGTAGTTCTTCAAACTATTGACTTTCATTTGGTTCAATTTTTTCACTTAAAAAAAAAAAAAAAAAAGAATTTAATATTATTATCACAAGATTGAGTCCAACAGTAGAAAAAGGGGCAATATATGAATTTTTCTTCAAATGATAAAAGAAAAAATGAATTAATCTTTCTTTTTTTTCATAAAATGTAATATGTCGCTTTTAAATATAATATAAATATCATTCTTGTTGTCTAACCAAACCATTTTTTTTTTTAAATTTACGCATGAGTATCTTACTAATTTCATTTCGGGTTCATGGATGTCTCCTCATAAATGCTTTTTTTTTTTTTTTTAATGGTGGTCTTGAAAAGGAAGAAAATGGACACTAATTGTTTATTCCATCAAATAAATAAGTTATATAAAATAGTTTATGGTTCAACTTTTGATAAGCCTAGATGGGATTTTACTTGATTTTGAATATTGAATTCTGTTATGAACATTTTCTTTTCCTCAATTCTGTTCATCTTAGCCACTTATCAAATTAATAAATGCTGAAAAACTTGATCTGATTTACACAAAGGGCTTGAAATCTGCAGTTCAAGCGGTTACAGATTCAAGCTGGGATAATCTTGTCATTTCCAGTGAAAACCCAGCTCTGGTGGAGTTTTGGGCACCATGGTGCGGACCATGTCGGATGATAGCACCGGTGATCGATGAATTGGCAAAAGAATATGCCGGAAAGATTTCATGTTTCAAGGTAAACACCGATGAGTGCCCAAATATTGCCAACAAATATGGAATAAGAAGCATACCAACTGTGCTGTTTTTCAAGAAAGGAGAGAAGAAAGAAAGTGTCATTGGAGCAGTGCCCAAGACAACCTTGTCTAGCACTATAGAGAAATACATTGATGCTTGAAAGTTGACACAATTTAGACAACTACAAAGCTCTACCACCTTATGATTTAAAATATGTTTCTTGTATTTAATGTAAAAATGCAACCATGGATTCACCTTTCCAAATTCTGCACAAATATCCATTAATCTACGGTACCCCTTGTTTAGAAACTAAGTAATTTTGAATTCCATAACAATAAATTCGTAAGTGAAATGAAAGTTTTCATCTATAATAATAATGAAAAATTTCGAAACAAGGCATTGAGCACATGAATAATAAATCTCTTCCCTGTCCTTATTATAAATATATACTACTGGACATTGAAGATTCATTATTTTACCTGCAGATCATAACATCACAGCTCATTTAGGTTAGACCATGTTCCTCAGTTGATGTGCACCTGCCCCTATTCATGGCAAATGACACTTTAATTAAATTATTAGTTACCGGTAGGCAAGGTCTGGCAAGTTGACCAAAGAGAAGGGGAGAGCATGTTTTTCCAGTCACTGAACAAGACAGGAAACTATAGTTCAACAATGAAACTGGGGATCTTACTAACAACATAGTACAAAACTAGGAATTAATATAGTTCTAGCTATTTCAATGCAAATGTTTCTGTTGAATATACGCGCTGAGAGAGAGAGAGAGAGGAGAGAGAGAGCAAATACATACGCTATTTTTATGACTCTGGTAAAGGCAGGAAGTACAGGATAAGAGCTTTCAAGTAGACAACCATTCGTCCCTGAATCTCATTTCTAGACTGTTAGTGAGAAAAGAGGCTGTATTGAATCATAAATCAAGAAAACAATTAGAAGAAAATGAAGCAACTCGAAGAAGATTTAACATTTCATTGATAGAACACTATGCTATATGTTTTACTTTTTCCTGAAATTAGTACAAAGTGGGAAGTTAGCCCTCAAACTATTCCTTCGTGTAATGTCATCATCTTCACAGGGCTGCACGAAATTCTGCCCACACTCATGCTGCACAAGCAGCTACAATCAAGGACTGAGACATCAGTATCATTGATAGAACCTTCAAGGGGATGGTTTCCAATCAAATGGCAGATTATTAAATCCATTAACTGCTCCCAGCCCACTAAGCAGGTGGTTGCCCAAATCCTGTTGATGATTCATGCTTTGGTCTCGAACCATCGATGGCATACTCACACGTCCATTTATCACAGAGTTATTACCCATTGCAGCTCTAATTCCATTGACCATGGCAGCTTGCCCAAGTCCACTGCCCATGTTGCCAAATCCACCACCCCCCATCCCAGAATTATTGACCATCCCATTTCCCACCAGGCCATTTCCCCCATTGAGAACTGTGTTGTTACTTGTTGGCAAAATCCCATTAACATTTTTCATATCACTCCCCAAAGAACCAACACTAACCATACCACCAGTGCCATTAAGTTGGTTGGACATCATCATTTCATGGAGTATTTTTTGAACGGAACTTTGAGAATCACTGTGGTCAGCATCGCCAGAAAGAGCAGGCTGTTGTAAGGGAATATTTGCTGGTGAGTTTGTAGAGTTAATGTGATTTGCAGCTGTTAAGGCACCATGAGATGTTTGTGTAGGATTATTAGACGAGGGTGTCGGTGATTGGAAAGGAGAAGGATTAGGTTGTGCCTGAGGCATCGTGCTGGAGGAACCAGGTGATGGAATCTGAACAGAATTTCCTCCATAGGGACTGCTAGCGTTATTCATAGAATTTTGATGTCTTGAATTCATAGAATTCTGGTGGAGAAGCCCAACAATAGCACTTGCAGAACTAGATGCAGGTGCTGTGCTGAGGGAGTTATTTACACTAGACATTGCATTGCTAGCAGCAATTTGGATTCCACCGGCCTGGACAGAGCTTTGATCACTGTTTGAGTTCTGGGGCATTGCTTGTTGCTGTTGCTGTTGCTGTTGTAGCTGTTCTTCAGGTTGTTGAGCTTGACTATGAAACCCAGATGAAGTGCTAGTCCTCCGAGGGAACTTTGCCAAACTCTCTGCCAAAAATAATTAGATGAGATAGCATCCATTGAAAGCAATATTATGTTCTGATATTGACATGAAAACTAAGAATCTGAAGACAGAACCTGTCCAATTACATCCTAATGTGATAACAATATTCATGTAAATAAACATACCAATGCTTATGAGGTGAATAGCAGTTTCACATGCAATCACAACAAAGAACATACTACACTGATGGAAAATATAAGTACAAGGTAAAATAGTAAATAGATAGAAGGAAAAGGGCAGACATGCAGATACAGGGAACACCCCCAACACCTGGCTTTGCATACATAATCCCAGTTGCCCAAGATCACAACCCAGTCAACAACACATTCTTTGCTTCTCCTAAAGGGTCAAGACATCCAAGGGATCAGAGGTGAAACTATATTGGTAGTTGGACAGTAAAGCCCTTACAAATTTTAGATAAAATACAAGTACAAATATATACTGGGCCCCTAACACCCTTGAATCCATCATCATTATTATTATAGCTCCACACCCTGAACGGGACTCTAGAAAACGCATTTGCACATATTTGGCTTCCCAGTTATCAAACTGCCTGACATAAATCATATCAATTCGAATAGTCCTCGACATCAAACATAATTGGTCTTATAATTCTACATGCTAGATTCACAAGCACCAGAAGCAACTAAATTATTTCAGTTTTCCAATTCTACTCACAGATTAATTATCATTTTCTTAGGTCTTCAAGCATTCAACACAAGCATTTAATGCCTTCTATCAGTATGCCATGTGCCTCTTCATCTTACTAGTAACAGTGAGACTACCTCGTCATGCATATATTTGTTGTCATGCCCCTTGCACAAGAGACATTTCCAGAAAAACCGATCTCCAACATACAAATTGCAAGGCCAAACCTTCAATTTCACCCTAAACTTTTGGAATAATTGCAATTCACTCTAAATCAACCTTTGTACCCTGAGCACCCTGAACTTATCATCCTAATTGTGATCACACTCTAATTTGCTCTTAGGATGCAATTGCACCCTAAAAGTGAATTACAACACCCTAAACTTGTCAATTTGTTGCAATTGCATCCTAAAAGTAAACTAAGGTTGGAATTTTGATTAAAATAATGTAAAAGAATGAACTCCATAGCCAAGTATTTAAACAATAAATATAAAATCAAACCCAAGTATTCATATAATAAATAAAGTCAATTGGTTGCAATTGCATGCCTAAAAGTAAACTAAAGGTTGGAATTTTGATTAAAATAATGTAAAAAGAATGAACTCCATAGCCAATAAAATAATGTAAAAGAATGAACTCCATAGCCAAGTATTTAAACAATAAATATAAAATCAAACCCAAGTATTCATATAATAAATAAATAAAATCAAGATTGAGTATTTGATTTAAAATTGAACCAATTTTAAAATGCAAAAATAATGAGTTGGATATTAATTCAAATTAGGGTGTAATTGCAACTAGTTGATAAGTTCAAGGTTCCTAAGGTACAAGCATCGATTTAGAGTGAATTTACAACTATTTGAAAAGTTCGAGGTCAAATTGAAGGTTAGCCCACATTGCAATGGCATACAGCACAGGAAAAATTAATGATAGACATACAGCACAATCATACTGCTGCATCATGACGATGCAGGAACTAAATACTAGAACCACCATTGCCTCAAGAATCTACTCAAGGCAGATGGGAAAAGTGTAAGGATTCCCCCGAAATATTTCTTAGTTATTACCATAGAACACACTTTGGGCTGAAAGCTTTATATTTACTCAAGTATCACTACGGAAATATAAGATTTATACTTGAATAACACAATCCCTTCAAAAAAAGTTAAAAGACAGCTATTGTTTAATGAGATAGAGATCTGCAGTATGGATAGGCAATATGATACTGTCTATTGAATTTATAGCAATAAAAAAATAGCAACTACCTGTTTTATCCATCTGTGCAGAGGGTAAACTAAAACAACCTACTAAATAATGTAAGACTAACTTAGCAGCACTAAGACACCCTCAGCACACTTGTAATGTGTATGACAAATTATCGATACAAGCACAAAGTGTTATCATAGAAGAAAATGTCATAATCACTGGAAAACTCATCAAACTTACCCATAGGTCCAGTCCCTGTTTCTCGACTGTAATCAATTAAATCTTTCATACTGTTAACCACTTCAGATATCTGCAACGATATTGAACACAGCTTTGTCAAAAAAAAAAAAAAAAAAAAAAAACTGTTAACCACTTCAGTAGTCTGGCAACGATATTTGACAAGCTGTTGTCAAAAAAAAAAAAAAAAAAAAAAAAACATCGCAGCATGCATCAAGATAATGGAAATATAAGAATATTCAAATGCACAGAAAACCCTATAAAAAATTATCCCAATACAATCATTGCTTTATAGTCCTTAAATCTTATCAAATTATTCATTTTGTCGTATAATAGTTGAAAGAATAAACTGGTTAATGGAATACCACATGCACCAAATCGAACCTAAAATATTGTGAAAATGTATGCTAATCAAGCATAGTGAAAAAAAAAAAAAAAAAAAAAAAACATGCAGCAATCAATCAAGATAATGGAAATTAAGCAATATACCAAATGCACAGAAAACCCTATAAAATTATCCCAATACATCATTGCTTTAGTCCCTTAAATCTTATCAATATCATTTTTATAATATGAAAAGAATAATTTAATGGATACCACATGCACAAATCAACCTAAAATATTTGAAAATGTATGTAATCATAGCATAGTGGGAAGAAACACTGCCAATTGTACTCGTGTTGGTAATACGCCATGTAGAGAGTCCACAAACAAACAAATTCAGAATTCAAAATTCTCTTCAAGTCTGATACGAAAGAAAAATAATATTTCAATGAAAGGAACTATAGGAGAAAATGTAAAGATCAGATGCTAACAGAACACTCTCACACAATGATGATGCACAGAAACTTCTAGCCATGGGCCACATTCCGGAAACGTTTCTCCATATCCATTTCCCCATATATAAAACACTGTTTCCTGTGTAAAATTATATTTTAAATGTCATTTCCCTATATCATTTCCACATTTCTTCGTTTCAGTTTCCATGCAACATGGCTCTCACATAATCACAAAGGGGATCTATTGTAATAATGAAGCTTTTGTCATGAAAGTAGAATGAGTTTAAATATACCCAAGTCCATCAAATAGAATAGCATCTCAAACCAAGGGACATTTTTTATAATCCAAAATGTACATTAACCTCCAATACACACCCACTTACTAAGATACATGAATACTCACTAATTGTAACCTTTTAACACGTTAATCAACATGACATTCATATAGTCACATTGACCATAAAAGGTTTTAGGCCATCACCTGCAGGCACCTCACATATCTCTTTGTATATCCCAAATCATTTACCAGCGGAACCTCCAAAGCTTTTGCAAGTTGCCGAGCTGATGCAACAAACCTAGAGAAGGATAGCTCATAAATAATTGATAGAAAAAAGCAAGCATAAGACATTATTGTCCAAAAATATTAATTTGTTCATTGAATCTGAGCTTTCTAACAGTTCATAGATAAAGATAAACAAGATTACAAAAGTATGCACTTCTACAGACATTTGGCAACAAGTATGGGGCCAATGGTAAAGCCTGCCTAGGGATAAAGGATAATTTTCTCAATTTAATCAAAATGTAACATACATCCTTGCATGACAAAAATCTACGTAAATTCAAAAAAAAATTAGGAAGAGAAGGAAAACTCTAATTGCAACAGTAAAATTACCCAGTACTCTTGTCTTTAGATAACTCAAATCAACAGACCTGCTTTAAGTGAACAATATAAGAGTGCAACTCCCAGATCTCTTATATTGTACATGCTCAGTGACATTCTGAAGACCAAGATTAGTTAATAATCCTAATTGCGACATGTTCGAAAGCGTAATTTGACTGCTTTCAGCAAAACAAAGACAAACCATGCAAGTTATGCACCTTTATTAGAAGTCATAATAATAATATTAATAATAATTTCTTATTTAAGGATGAATAAGTGCAACTTGCAAGCTTGCAACAACTTTATGAATTTGTTCTTGACAGCTAGATTGACTGATCATTTAACACAATAAAACCTACACCAAAGAGGTTACCAGTTCAGTACATCAAGGAACTCATCAAGCACTCAACTATCCAACTAAATGGGGAAAGAAGGAATTAATTACAATCAAAGGCCACCCAAAATTTGTTTGATATGAAATGCATTGATAAACAACTTACATATTACAATTAGTTTGCAACTCTGGAACAGACAAATTAGATGATGAATTTTGAGTAGCAGTCTGGTACTTTTGAGCGGCAGCACCAAGCTGACTGACCTGCAAAATTAAAAACCATAGTTCATGCATAATCCTTGTCAGCACAACATATTTTCTCTTTTGGATACAATGCCACGGCAAAAAGCTTCCACTTAATGCTCCCAAATGTTTGTTCGATGGTGAACTGGAGGCATTTGCCTTTTCCATTAAAATAACAGGGCCACAAACTAGATTCCCTCAAAATCCATTAAAAAAAAGGTCCAGGGAGAACCGGAAGATCATATAATTCTAAAGCGAATTGCTAATACTACTAGAATATTAGTAAAGTATAACCCATTTCATCATGTATAAAATCCAAAACTGCATAAAGAAGAACAATTAAATTCTTTTATCAAAATATAAAATGTTCTTAGGCAAATTTCTTGCTCAGTTGTGCATATGCAAGTAAAACACATGATCATTCAATGGTTAGAGATACAAATCTTTAATCACCAGGTGAATCAAAATTGAGTCTGGTTCAACTATACAGGATCATAATCCAGCAACAAGAGTGCATTGAAATAACATTGGTAAGCATGAATGTTTCTATGCAAGTCCATTTACCATTTAATCCATCATCTGTTTCACTAGAAACTGGCAATAAACCTAATACCAGAAAGTCAAGCTCAGCCTTCTAAGTTTCAGATGATAAAGGTTCAATTACAAACATATTCTTAAACATGTTTTGTTCAAGAATTAACAGTAACAAAGTATTTTTTATTATTAAGCAATACAGTTGGCTGCCAACCTGTGGTATTAACAATCTTCGAGGAATAAGTTCTTCATGACGCCGAGCACAAAACTCCCAAGAGCATATCTGGAGAAAAACAATGAAAGAGCAAATTTACTCTACCTCAGGAATCTAGAAATTATTCAAAGAAAAAATGCACCCCTTTAATGTGTACCTTCAAGTCTGGAGAGAAGACTATCCGCAGTTGCCCATCACGAACAACACGAAGTTGCTCAAAAACACTTTCCTGTATTGCTTTTGCATAATCCAAGACAATTTGACCAGACGAGTTCTGATATTCACGTGGCATATCCACATAAAGAAGCTCTTCCAAAGTACCACTTTCATATTTGATTTTGAAAAGCCGGGGAAGAACCTCAACAGTAGCCTCTGACCAACGGGATATCAAAATCAGATACAATATAATGCAGAGGAAAGCACTAAAACTATGGACACACCAATTCAAACTAGCACCAAGATAGTCTCATCGAAGAACTAAAACTAAAGCAGTAAAAGATCAAACATCATACCAAAGCCACGGCCTGGCTTGTGATTGCAAATCTCGCAGTGCCATACGTCCTGTAACAGTTGCAAGTAAGATGTTGGGATCAATTTACATCAATAATTGGTACTAGAAGAAAGTTAAACACGTAGTTTACGAAAAAAAATGTATTCACTTCCTGAGAGCATTCTTTTCACTTCTCATGGATTTTAGAAAGCATTACAACTAAAACTTAGGAAGATCATATAAATAAAATATGCAAAGAACTGTGTAACAATCGACCTGATTTGTCCATTTAAAACATGCACACCAACATAGAAATAGTTTAGCGTGATTTAGAGGTGTGTCGGCAATTGTTCAATGTTGCTAAGTTTTATCAAGCAGCTGACCTGAGGGAAAACTCCAGTTGTTTGTCGGCCACTTCCATACATAGAAACACACCACCTCTTTTTTGCATGCGGGGCAAAATATTCAGCCACAAATTTTCTCCAGAATTCAATATTGTTGTCCTACATGACAATTGAGCATTATTACAAACCAGAAATGTTAACAGCAAAAGTCAAAACATTATTCACCAACAGGAAATCTCACTTCTGGTCTGTGCTGTTGCTGATACATGTAATGTGTGAGCCGACGAGCACACATCCCAGGTTCATACACTGGTTTCACAGGAGATCTTAGAGGCAAATTCTGCTGCTGAAATTGCTGTGGTAACTGTGGCCGTTGCTGTGGCATTGCTTTCAGAAGTTGCTGTTGCTGATGTATCTGCAGTAATCTTTGCTGATTGAAAAGATTCAATTGTGCAGCAGCAGCTTGTGAAGTCTGCCTTGACATGTGAAGGAACTGCTGTTGTTGCTGTTGCTGTTGCTGTTGTTGCTGTTGCTGCTGCTGATGTAGAAACAATGACTGATCTGAATGTTGAGGTTCCAACTTTACCGGCGCTAAATTTCTAATAGACTGCATTTGTTGTGGTTCCAATTTGACAGGACCAAGACCTCTCAATGACTGCAGCTGCTGTGCCTGCTGCTGTTGTCCTCCATGTTGATCATTTGCTACCTGAGGCTCCAACTTGACAGGCCCAACGCCACCTATTCCTCCTCGAATTTGTGGAAATTGATGCTGCTGCTGCACCTGCTGTGTATTATGAGGGGCAGAGAACTGTTGCATTTGTTGCTGACCATGCTGGAAACTCTGTGCTTCAAGTTGTTGGGATTGCTGTTGATCTGGCAACAACTGGTTGCCAGAAGGGTTTGAAAATTGCTGTCCCTGAACTTGACCAGATGGACCAGGATTCACCATATTAGAAGGCACAAATGAAGATGGAGGAGCATTGAAACCCATTCCACTACCAACATCTGAAAGTGGATCTGTTTCAGCCCCGCTATCAATAGCTCCACGCTGGCTACTCCCTGGACCAGAAAGCCCTGGATTTGGACCCCCATTTCCAAAAGACTGATTGAGGAAGGAGGAGACATTGGGTACATTTCCGAGCATATTCATATTATTAAACTGAGTACGTGGGGAAACTAATGAAGGGAATGCAGTTTGAGAAGACAGAGAACCTCCTTGAGCTCCCAGCATCCCCGAATTTGATCTCAAAAGTGAAGGAGAAACAGATTGGGCACCACCAATTGGAGTAGGCGGCCCCGAGGGTACCATTTTATCAAGAATCACAATCTATAAACACTCTTTTAAGTATTACAATGATCTAAAATAACATGAATTAAATAAGCCTACAATTACATAACCAATCAGAATAAAGCAGGCATACAGCTGGACCTACTTAGCATTTCAACTCCACATCCAAGACTGCAGACTTCAAAGTCCTTATTGTGCAGCGAAAGGAATGAATAGGTTTTGTGCCTGAGTAGATGGTGTTGCGTTTTACCAAACACAAGCCATAGACCAAAGTAAACAAAAGCCAAGGAACATATGATCTAAAATAACATGAATTAAATAAGCCTACAATTACATAACCAATCAGAATAAAGCAGGCATACAGCTGGACCTACTTAGCATTTCAACTCCACATCCAAGACTGCAGACTTCAAAGTCCTTATTGTGCAGCGAAAGGAATGAATAGGTTTTGTGCCTGAGTAGATGGTGTTGCGTTTTACCAAACACAAGCCATAGACCAAAGTAAACAAAAGCCAAGGAACATGCCTTGATTTTGAACATTCTAGAGTCGCGCTATCTTCACACGACCAGCAATCCTTCAATGGTCTTTGCATGAATCCCTGTATCAGAAAAGCGGTTTTAGATCCATTTCAAAAAAAAAAAACCATATAAAGCTAAGAATTAAGAAATAAAACATTCACCACTAAAGACAGTAGTTTAAGAACAGCTCAGTATTATTGCACTGTTAACTAAAACCCATATGAAAAATCACAAAAAGAAAGTTTAACCTCAATCAAATCCTACAACAAACCCATATTCTCAAAACTCACGATACCACAAAAAAGTTGCATCAAAATTAAACAAAACCCATCAAGAAAATGTTTACCATAGTCAAATAACTCAAATTGAAATCACCCAACCCAAAAGAAAAGCTTCAAAATGACTGCAAAATTGAAACTTTTATGAAATGGAACACAGTTACTGCAACAAAAAAAAATGCAAAAAAGAATGCTAAAAATGACCGTTAAAACCACCACCTCGATCGAGCCCTAATAAACTGAATCAAAGATCCAAAGCCACCAATAAGCCAAAAGAAATAATGGGTATTAAAAAAAAATAAAAATAAAAAAAAAGCAAAAGTCTGAGCCGAAACAAGCTAAAAAATACAGAACTCACCTGCAGTAGAAATTAACGGTAGTGAGAGGGACAACAGTGAGCAACAAAGATTTCTCTAATCAAGCATACACCAAAATCCCAAAAATTCTCAATAATCATCAACCACAAAAAAAAAAAAAAGAAAAGAAAACAGTCTTTTATTGAATAGAGACGAAGAAGGAGTTCAATAGTCCAAAGGGTCTCTTGCACTCTAGGGTTTTTGTTTGCTGAGTTCGTCAAAAATCTACCTTCTGTTTTTAAGTTCGCTTCTTTTTTTTTTTTTTTTTTTTTTGAGTTCGTTTCAAAAATTCTACCTTCTGTTTTTAAGTTTTCCGCTTTCTTTTTTTTTTTTTTTTTTTTTTGTTTGCTTTGTTGGTTTTTTTTTTTTTTTTTTTTTTGTTGCTTGTTGTTTCTCTCTCTATCAGTATATGGGTTGTGTGCCCTGTTCTCTGCTGTATCCAGAGAGAGAATGTTTAGAGAGAGAAAGGAAGAGAGAGAGTGTTTGTGTCCTTGCGGACGTCAAAATTGTATTCGATTCGATTGAATTTTCTCCTCCTTCATTCTCTCTTCTTTTTATTTTCTCTTCCATTCTCTCTCTAAGAAAATGAAGTCAAATGCTATTCATCTCCTCCTCCTCTCTTCTTCTTCTATGCTATGTATGTCCATGTGGCTATGTATATCACATGTATGCATTATGCATCCCATATCATTCATCCACATATGACATGTACTCCGTGGTCCTAAATTATTTTTTTTTACGGGATTTAAAAAGTAATTAATTTTGTAAAATTATAACAAAACTCAAAAATAATTCAAATAAATTCTTTTTATCTTTAAGATTAAGAGTAACATGTAAAGATGGTTATTTCAGTTAATATAAATAATGGTAAAATTGAAAAAAGATTATTTAATATTTTATAAAATACTTAAAATGTCTTATATTTGGGACAAGATAATAATTCTAAATGATTTATTTTTTGGAATGACAAGAGTAATATATTTTTAGTAAAATATTTTCAATCAAATGTATAAATTCACTTATATATTTTACAGAAAAAAAATCTTGTAGTACTCCAAACTTTACGAGAGACTTATTACGCTCTTTGAACTTGCGAATTTTAGTAATATTGTATCTCTCTCAATAATAGCAATAACAATTTTTGAATGTTTTTTATATTTATGTGCAAAATATTCACTTGATACGTGGTCTTGTAATTGTTTAATCGATCTAATTATGTAAGAGTGTGTAATGGAATAATTCTACAAGTTGAAGTATTTAATAAGTTGAATTACTTCAATTTTTTTATTTTCTAAGTTGAAATATTTAATAGATCAAATTAAAAAAAATGAAATTGCCATAAAAATTTTTACTAAAATACAGAATTTCACAAAATAATTTTTAATTTTGACTTTGTATTGTAATTCGGAAACAGTCAAGATAATTATTAAGAAATTATATTTTTAAAGAGAATAATTTAATGTTTTTCTTTTTTAATTCTCCTACTATCATGAAATATAATTAATTATTTTAACTTTAAAAAAAATAAAAAAGACTCCTCAATTGATTTAAATTTATATTGAAAAAAGTTTGCAAGTATTTTTATGACCCCTCGTGTTCTAGAAAAACAGATTTACTCTCTATTTTTTTTTTCACTTGTTTTAAATATAGTCCTATTTTCCTTTTTTAAATTGAATAATCTTTGAATTTTTCTCATTTTATTTTTATTTAATATTTATTTTCATTAAAAAATAACTAATTGAAACATCAAGCTTACATTAATCTTCTCAATCCATTGGGCAAATGCGTCTTTCACAAGAAGGTTCAACTTTTATATAACAGATATATTAAATAGATAAATAAATAGTTAAGCCTCAACTTTTTTATTATTCAATTATTAAGTTTCTATAATTATTTTCAAATATATCTATATAAAAAATGTGAAATTTAATTATAACGATTCTTAAAAAATAAAATAATACTAATTCTTTAGAATCAAAATTTTATTAGATAATGTAGAATGTAAGTGTTTGTTATTTTCTTCTAAAAATGTTTATGATTTTAAATTATTATAGTGTTAGAACTCGCGCAATGCGCATAGCAATTTAAAGGACGAAATAATTTTTTATAACATCATTCAAAAATAATAAAATTATATAATAAAATGATAAATTGTATCTCGTTGAGATACGCTAAAAAATTATAATGCTAAGATATGTCTTCTTAAATATGCTGCGAAACCTTTCATAAAGTTTGCAATAGTAAAAGTCATACATGATATGACCTACATTAAAAAATGCATACACACTATTGATGTATTTTTCGATAGTGATAATAATTTCAATAATTTAATTAATTATATTGAAATAATAAATTAAGTATTTTTTATTTTATGTTTATGATTTATTATAAATGATTGTTTATTTAATTGAAATATTAATGTGTCTCTTATCATCATGCCTCCTTATGATAATGGTGGAGTGTACTGTATTGGCGATTACGCCAGAGCCGTCGAATAGCCCGTGTGTGGTGTGTATATATAATATATATGAGGATGTCTATCATTACTCCTCTCTCGGATTACATAATTAATGCGTCTCTAATCAACCTACAAGTCAATAACAGCATCTATATTCAACGAATGAAAAAGTTACACGCACGCCTCTACGTATAGAGCCTATCTATTTCCTCAGAATCAAAGCACTATATATGCATTATATCGGAGTAATATGGACCAGAACAATGCGCGCCTCCGAATCGAGCGTCCATCTGCCAATTACGGATTGGCAACATTATACCTAGCCCCCGGTCTACTGTCGAATTTGCCACTATGTGTGGATCGTAGAGCCTGGTGGCAAGCCCTCATATAAGTATATAAATCCTCAAGCCCGTAGGCGTGCCCGGAACGTCTACAGAGAACGGGGTCTCTCCAGCGAACGCGGAGGTCGCGGGTTTCTTTTAATCCTAGCGTCTTTACTTAGGTGGTTACACAGAGCGCGTCCCTTCTCTGGCAGAATCAGGATCTTTCTCGCAGGAATACTATGTGAGAGTCGCTTCGCATGCAAAAGAGTGCTTAATCTACTCTAAGGTCGAGTGGTGACCCGACCGGAACCTCCCTCGATATATTATATCTCATCCGATCACCGGCACTAGGCCATAATCATCCTGTGGACTCATAACACCGTCCGAAATAATCTAATACATATATAACTCTCAATATATAATATAGGTGACGCTATAGCTCGCTCTACTCTATGGGGCGGTCTGTGCCGTCTCACGATTCTGTAGATCTCCTTCTTCGTTCCGTTACATCGCAACGGATTCTCTCGCGACGCGCTATCATGTCTCTTGGATCTGCTAAAAGTCTCACTAGCCGCTGACTCTTAGGGCATCAAAAGCGACTACCGTAAATCAATTCTATTGATGGTGTTATGGACTCCCGTCTAATGGCTTACTCTTCTCCTTTCTGAGACTTCGATTAAGTGCACATCATGGCGTCATAGCACATAAGAATTCATGGTCTAACAGGTTCAGCATCTGTTATGATTAAACATATACGAAACGCGGATGTAGCGGATAAAACATATTAATAATATAATACCTTCTTCTAATAATGCGTCATCGAGGCTTACCACACATATATATAAATATCACTCCACTCGCAGGCATCACAGCTATCCTATCCGATTTCTGTGCGTTTCTATCGAATTCCAAGCAGCCCCAGCGCCTCTGTTAACTGTGTATTGACTACCATCTCTATTTCTGCTTGGTACTGCTTGCACCGAGTGAGCTCTCAAATTCTATAGCGAACTCGTTATCCCTCGCAAACGATTATTGATCTGTTATCGAACCAGCATACGCGTCGGCAATAAGGCGTGCAGTCGCTATGCGCGGAAGTGCTGCTGCTGTCAACCGAACATAGATCTCGTACATAATAATATACTTCTAGAAAAACATATGACGTAATATTCTAACATGTGTTCATCCTATATGCTCTCTGTCCTCTATGACTATGACTCCTGGACTGTCTTATAATCCCGCGTCGCTCTGTAATATATATATATTAACTATAGCCGAATCTGTTCGCCGTATGCTATTAACCATGATTTGCATATGATATACTGCTTCTCTGGATCTCTCGCCAGCTCCATCGCGT